GGTCAATACCGTACGTTTGGTACTTATTGCATATGTATTATTGTAAATCACCGCAATAATATGTCTTGTAATTCATTAGGCCTACCGGAAATTTAATTGAATGTTTATTTAAGCTTTAGCTCAGTTAACACGACAGTTGGCCTAAGTTTGCTATTGTCAACCTAAACGCCACTGAACAACGTTTTTTAATACGCAAATTACATTTCTCAATGTTCATAACGAAATATCAATTAGAAAAATATTGTCAATGATAAAGTACACAAGTGCATTGTAACAATATACAGTTTTGTTTGCCAGAAATGTGATACATTTAGAACAACTGGTTTATAGGATGGATCCTGCGAGGAAATGTGATATACCCTGGCAACAGCTTTAATCAACAGATCGATCTTATTGGCTATTGCTCCCATTTATTATCGAATAAACTTTGAAATAGTGGACGCACAATTCATGTTATAGGCCTGCCGGACTCTATCTCGCAAGATGAGAGCATAGCATATACGCAAAATGCAATCACGCTTTCACGTAAATTAACGCAATCACACCAGTTCATGCCACTGTATTCAACATGGAGGTATTAGGCCTATAGTACACTAATAATATCTATGATTCAATGTAATCGAATGTTGATTAGCCAACACACTATCAGTTGGTGGAGTAATCGAAATATGTAATAATGCACACCAGCGCACTTTTGTTAGGTTTTAACTGTTTCAGAATTTCAAGAGTGATACTTATGACTTAGGCCTACAGGCTGTGTTAGCCTACGTTAAGTTTCTTTTGATACCGTAAAACCTCGAATAGAAGCCCAAGGGCTTAATCTCGAGAACAAGCCCATCTCGAAGAGAAGCGCCCCTCTTTAGTTTGCAAAAGTAATCTCGTAAAGAAGCCCATGACCTTCCAATCAAGAAATCTTTGATGATTATGATAGCTTTGCCTGTATTAATATATATATATATATATATATATATATATATATTCCAATCTGCATATATATATATATATATATATATTACTATAGGCTACTAGACTATATATATGTATATGTACAT